ATTAAAGCAAAAGTATCTTCCCAAGCACCCCCAAAAATAGAATAGGAGGGAAAGACTGATAGTAATGAGAGTCTTCCTCCTCCACCATTCCCTGGAAATTGGTGGCAGGTCTCATTTTGATGTGTGTTGCATTGTTATAAGCACAGACTTTGGAGGGGGCACTGATAAACAGCACTAGCAGAAATAAGACTATCTGCCCTTGAATCTTTTCACATGTTCTCCAGGATTCTACTTTCCCTGCTACCAGCCACTTCACCAACTTTTAATTGAAGTGACAATCTGGAGAGACGACTTCAAAATACTCAAAGTCTCGAGAGAAATACACAGAAACGATTAAGGTTGCACAGAGATGACCCAGTCATTCTTTGAGTTGCTGCAGCATAATTGGATTTATTTATTATATATTTTACACAAATTGGAAAGAAGGCAAAGTTATTCAGTAAGGTAACTATATTGGTCCAGAATCTTCCTGTGACAGTCTTCTTCTGGAAACAGGTTTTGCTCACTCCAGCCACAGGGGGTAGCTGGGCTAAATACAGTACCTAATGTTTCCTTGACCACAGGGACTGGTCTAAGGGATGGGAAATAAACCAGTATAAATCACTGAATTCTTCCCCTAGGATTTTTCATCTCGAAGCTAGACAAATCAGTTTTTTCTGCTGGTTATAGAATGGTGAGAATACGAGCCTAGAGGCCAGTTATGGGGGCTCATGACTGTAATCCCAGCACTTTGGGAGACTGAAGCAGGAGGACTGCTTGAGTTCAGTTCAAGACCAGCCTGGGCAACATGGCAAGACTTTATCTCTACAAAAACCAAATACATAAATAAAAATTAGCCAGGCATGGTAGCCTGCACCTGTGGTCCCAGCTACTGGGGCAGTTAAGGTGGGAGGATCACTTAAGCCTGGGAGGTGGAGGTTGCAGTGAGCCATGTTTGTGCCACTGCACTCCAGCCTGGGTGATACAGCAAGATCCCATCTCCCCCCACTAAAAAAAAAAAAGTAGTGTGAGCCCAGAGCTCCCATAACCGTGTCCATGTCCTTCATCATGTGAAGAACCCAGTTGAATGTGGGGTCTCCTACCTGCAAAGATAAATAGAGGTGAGAGGTTTGGGGTTGTATTGATGGGAATGTCAACATCTGTTCTTGTTCACAGGCTTGACTTTACTCTACTCTTATTCTTCTCAGGTTGGTTACATGTGCCAACCAACTTCCCCCTTTGCTTAAGCTTGTTGAAATAAGTTTCTGTTACCTGTAACAAAATATATCTTATCTGCCCAGCTCCAGTTCCATACATCTGAGTGCCTACTAGGTATCTCCCTTTGGATGTTTCCTGGTACTTCAAACTTGTATCTGTAGTAAAACGCATCTTTCTTCTCTTCTGTACTCTACCTGTCCCGTTTCTTCTAGTCTCTCAATCTGGTTACCAACATCTACCCAGCTGCCCAAGCCAGAAATCTATAGCTCTTCTAGACTTCTCTCTGTCTACCTGATCCCCCATCTCTCAATAACTAATAGGTTTCTAAGTGCTATTCCTCTTCTTTAATATTTATCCTATATCTTATCCCCCATTCTAGAATCCTTGATACCCCTTCTGTTTTTTTCCTTCCCCCACGATACTGAAAACATCAAATCTTAGAATGCTTACGGTCCCCACTGCCTCTGTTCAATGGGGTCCCTGTCCCCTTCTGATAAAACTTCTGGTCCCTGATGATTGGTCCAGCGCAGTCAGCATAAAGGCTGGTCAGTAACATATAAGAAAGTGTGGCAAGAAAATTCTCTCAAACAGAGAACAAATACACCAATCAGATCGTTTTCTATGAGGAGATCAGTACCTGAGACATGAAGAGGGCTACACAGTTGCCAAACAGAGGCTGAAGATATGCAGAGAGAAGGCAGAGGTGACAACAAGCAGGCTTTGGAAACTCTTGAATAAACAGAACATGAGTAAGCAAAAACTTCCAGGTGCTCTGAACGGAAGGTAAAGTGATTGTCTGAAGTACTGGAAATGAATAGAGGAATGAAATCACCAGAATAGAAGAGGACCAACTCTTGCTGTGAGGATACAACAAAATAATACTAGAACTGCTCCAGAACCTGAAATGCTTTCCAATTCCTAAAGTATACATACCTCAACCTGTATGAAACACGACTGGATAACAATACGTTGCTTCCTGTGTGATTTCTGTGTTCCCATGAGATTCTTGTTATCCCTATGGCCTCAACACACAATAACATAAATTCTAGTTGTATAAATTAGTTCCCCAACCAAATGATGCTCTGCCATATCTATGTGCATACATGATTTCCTCCAATTGGAACAATTCTCCCATCTACCATACAAAAACCCCTAACTTTGCCTACCATGTACCCATCTTTTAAGACTGAGCTCAAGGTCCTCTAAGCAGCTTTCTATAACTCAGCCAGGTAAGCTCCTCTTCCTTTACTCTAGCACATGGTAATTGTATGTCTTCATAAATAAAATATGAGCTTCTTTTGTTTACCTTTGTATCCCCGGGCCTGGCCCAGTACCCAGGACAAAGCAGACATTTAATGAATGCCATTGTTTTGGTTAAAGCTCTCAGTTGCTAGACTCTTTCAATAAACAATAAATGTACTAGCCTTCCATTATCACCCCTCTTCCAATATATCTAATTACAGTCTGCAGTATCTGAAGTGGGCCATGGTACTATAAAAAGACAATGATTCCATGGCTTTTACGTAAGATTTCCTCAGCTCAGAATGCCCTTCTCATCCCTGTTCCCCAACTTCTTCCAAGAATAGAGGTAGGAAGTCCAGAATTAATTGCACTGGTTCAGGCAAGAGAGGATGATGGCCTGGACTAAGGAGTATTGGTGGGGTAAGAGGTAGTGATACATTCTGGAGGTGGAATAGGCATTAAGTACTTGGTGAAGATTTGGTTATAAGAGGAGGAAGAGAAGCATATCAAAAACAAATCCTGGAGTTTGAGACCAGCCTGGCCAACATAGTAAAACCGTGTTTCTACTAAAAATACAAAAATTAGCTGGGGCTATAATCCTAGTTATTCAGGAGGCTGAGGCAGGAGAATCGCTTGAATCCAGGAGGCAGAGGTTGCAGTGAGCCAAAATCGCACCACTGCACTCTAGCCTGGGCAACACGGTGAGATTCTGTTGCGCAAAAAAAAAAAAAAAAAAAAAAAAAAAGAATAAATCCTTTGGCCTCAGCCTTGGCTGCACTGTTGGCTTCCCTGGTTTTGAGGCTCTTGGACTTGGATTGAGCCATGCTACCAGCTTCTCTTTTTCCCCAGCTTGCAGGTAGCCTATTGTGGGATTTTGTCTTGTAACTGCGTAAGCCAATTCTCCCTAATAAACTCCCTTTTAGATATACATTTGTATTATCGGTTCTGCTCCTCTGGAGAACCCTAACATAGTATCATTCAGTGATATTAAGTACATTGACAGTGTTTTGCAATCACCGCTACCACCTATCACCAGAACTCTTTTCATCTACCCAAACTGCAAAACTTCTTATATGAAACACTAACTTCCCATTTCCCCTTCCTCCTAGTCCCTGGTATCCACCATTCTTCTTTCTGTCTATGAATTTGACCACTCTAGGCACCTCCTATAAGTACTATTGTACAGTGTTTATCTTTTTGTGACAGGCTAGTATCACTTAGCATAATGTCTTCAAGGTTCATCCATGTTGTAGCACATGTCAGAATTTCCCTCCTTTGTAAGAAGAAATACATTCCGCTATATGTGTATAGCATATTTTATTTATCCAGTCGTCCTTCAACAGACATTTAGGTTGCTTCCACCTTTTGGCTATTGTGAATAAAGTTGCTGTGAACATGGATGTACAAATGTCTGTTCAAGTCCCTGCTTTTAATTTTTTGGGTATATAGTCAGAAGAGAAATTGCTGACCATATGGTAATTCTAAAGGTTTTTTTGAGGAAGTACCATACTGTTTTCCATAGTGGCTACACGATTTTATGTTCCTATCAGCAATGCACAAGGATTCCTCCACATTCTTGCCAACACTTGTTATTTATTTATTTATTTATTTTAATTTAAAATTTTTAATAACAGCTATCCTAATGGGCCTGAAGTGGTATCTCAGGGTTTTAACATTTATCTAATGATGAGTGATGATGAATATCTTTTCATGTGTTATGGGCCACTTGTATATCTTTTGTGGAGAAATGTCTATTCAAGTTCTTTGCCTATTTTTCAATTAGGATGATTTTGTTTTTGAGTTTATAGTTATTCTGTAATAAGAACCAGTTCTAGGAATACGGGTCTAGGTCTTCAAAGCATGAGAATAAGTGTATTAGAATGGCATGAAAATTCTAGGGACCTTGGGAAAAGAGGCAGAAAGAGATGAAGCTGCCAAAGAAAACTAAAAAAATGTTAAGTCTGGCTGGGTGTGGTAGCTCATGCCTATCATCCCAGCACTCTGGAAGGTTGAGGCAGGAGGAATGCTTGAGCCAGTTCAAGACTAACCTAGGCAACACAGTGAGATTCTATCTGTATAAAAAATAAAAACATTAGCCAGGTGTGGTGCTGTGTGCCTGTAGTCCCAGCTATTCAGGAGGCTGAGGTGGGAGGATTGCTTGAGCCTGGGAGGTAGAGACTGCAGTGAGCTGAGATTGCACAATTGCACTCCAGCCTAGGTGACAGAGAGACTGTCTCAAAAACAAACAAAAAACTTTTTAAAGTCTCACTCTTTAGAGAAGAGTAAACAAAATGCACTCAGAATTCCGGGCATATTTTAGTATTGTAGTTTGAGAACTGTATAAGTAAGCACTGGTGGACTGCCTTGTGAACCTAACCACTATATAGGAACACTACTTATATAAAAATATAAAAAATGCCCTATGTTATAATCCTTTAATTTAAATGTAAACTTTTGGTAAATAATTCATGTATAAGCTGATGACTATTTACATACTAAAATTTAAACTTGGGAAGTATGTTGGTTGCATTAATGGATTACAGAAATAATTACTCATTATATAATACTTTAAATTAGGAATTTAATATTTTTCAATCACCAAAAATTCATTTGCATGAATCATTTGTGGTATACCAGAATAAGAAAATACACATGATACAGAGTTATGGAACCAATAGATAGTCATGATATAGTTGATAGAAACATCAAGACAAAGCAATTATGTACAGATAGAGACAAGGGTTGAGAAAAGAGTAAGGGTACATAGAAATCTGTGCTGTTAAATAAAGTAGCTATAGAAAACAGTATTACTGATCACTAATAATAGATAACTGACCACCAAAAATAACATCAAGTTTAAATTGGATAAATTTTATTATTTTTAAAGTAACCATTTTATTGAATCTATTGAAAACTGATAAACTATTAGATTTTGAATTTTTGGTAAAACGTTATAAAACCAAGGTTAGAGAAATAACCTATCATATGGTTGTATAGTGTAATTCATATATTTTAGCATAAATATAACATTATTTTAAAGCATATCTAGGGTTATTTTCAATGTTTTATACTTTTATACTCTCTATAAAATAACCTATAGTTAAGAAAACATACCATTCTCTCAAAGCAAAATAAAACAAAGCTTTCTTTAATCTGAAACTAAAGATGAGCTTTCCATTTCTTGTCAGGATCTGTGCTGCTAACTGTAGAAAGAAAATCAGAGAGTAAAAATTTAACAATAGATAAGTAAATGCACTGGATTTTAAGTTACCTTGTGGCTAGAAAAAGTACTCATTCTTAAAATAATTTTGTTGCTCAATATAAAGTTGGGTATTTTTGGTACATGTAAAAACATTGCTAAGGCTTCCACATCAAATTCAAGCTTAGAATTCTGGCTTTTAAGGATTACATTTCTATAAATTATTAGTTTGACAAACTAACACTAGAAAATAATTACATAATTACTGCTTTAACATCTCTGAGTTTACTACCTTTACCACTGTTTAAAACCTTTGGCTGTTCCCAAATCTACCACATGTAAAATTCTTCGTGGTTTTTGGGTCTGGGAGAATAGAAGTTATCTTCCTACTACGTGTCTTTGATTGCCATTCTGGTGAGTAAGGATTGGAATTCCAACTGAGATTCTAATTCACATGGGAGCCTTTGGTTCCAACTTGTGGTCAACTGGCCCTGTGCTACTGACCTTCCTAGCGCCTGTCTCTCTCCAATTTAAAGTGATATTCATGGGAGAACTCTGATGGGTATTATTTTTCCTCGAAGGAAACTAAGGCATCTGTAAAAATATTTTAAATGCTGGTAACAGAAGAAAATTTGGAAGCATACTCACATATTTTTCCTTCTTTTTCTAGTTTTTTCAAATGAAGCAAGAGATTACGTTTAGCCATTTCATGTAAATTCTCAGGAGTATTCTAAAAGAAAAATGAAGGTGAAAAAAATTCCTTCTTTTTAAAAAAAGAACAGTTAATTTTTTTGAAAGCTTTGAAGAAAAGCAAAATGTAACAAAAGTTTATCTTAAACACATTTTTAACTTAACATTTTTCACAATTTCACTTTGTATACATCTTGTTTTATATTCTATCTATACTCCTATAGATAGAATAGGTTGTAAGTGCCATAAAGACAGTAGCAGTATCTGTTCTTTTTTTTTGAGACAGAGTTTCACTCTTGTTGCCCAGGCTGGAGTACAATGGCGCGATCTCAGCTCACTGCAACCTCCGCCTCCCAGGTTCAAACTATTCTCGTGCCTCAGCCTCCCGAGTAGCTAGGATTACAGGCGTGTGCCAGCATGCCTGGCTAATTTTTGTATTTTTAGTAGAGATAGGGTTTCACCACATTGGCCAGGCTTGTCTCGAACTCCTGACCTCGGGTGATCCACCCGCCTTGGCCTCCTAAAGTGCTGGGATCACAGGCGTGAGCCACCATGCCTGGCCCAGCAGCAGTATCTGTTTTGTTCATTACTGAATATTCAGTGTTTAGCATAATAATACATAGCAGAAACACATTAATATTTTATGAATGAATAAATGTAAAAATTATTCTTAGAATGTTTTCATGATGCTACAGACAGTTGGCCCTATAATTTATTTATTAGGTTACACGGTAATATCTTTGTATAGTTTAATTTAAATTTAATTTTTAGAAAAAAGTTTTTGGGGTGGGCGCAGTGACTCACACCTGTAATCCCAGCACTTTAGGAGGCCGAGGCAGGCGGATCACCTGAGGCCGGGAGTTCAAGACCAGCCTGACCAACACCGAGAAACCCTGTCTCTACTAAAAATACAAAATTAGCCAGGTGTGATGGCACATGCCTGTAATCCCAGCTACTCGGGAGGCTGAGGCAGGAGAATTGCTTCAACCCGGGAGGCGGAGGTTGCAGTGAGCTGAGATGGCACCGTTGCACTCCAGCCTGGGCAACAAGAGAGAAACTCTGTCTCAAAAAAAAAAGTTTTTGAGATACAGTCTTGCACTGTCACCAAGGTTGGTGTGCAACGGTATGATGTTGGCTCACTGCAGCCTTTACTTCCCAGGCTCATGTGATCCTCCCATCTCAGCCATCCGAGCAGCTGGGATCACAGGCATGTGCCACCACGCCCGGCTCATTTAAAAAATTTTTTGTAGAGTTGAGGTCTCACTATGTTGCCCAAGCTTGTCATGAACTCCTGGGCTGAAGCAACCCTTCCACTTAGCCTCCCAAAACGCTGGGATTACAGGGGTGAGCCACTATGCCTGGCCACAAAAGCTTACATTTTTAACCTCTAAGCTATGCTACCTAGACAGCAGACATCTAATAAACATTTGCTGAAAAACTGAATTATACTGAATGCTATATAGTGCTGTCAATACAGTGATATTCTCAGAGGCCACTGAGGTGTAAGGCTCTTTCCCTACATACTACTTTACTCATGTTCTTTGATTTTTTTTTTCCTTTTTCTCCATTGTTTGGCATTGCTACTACTTCTCACTGCTTTGCTACTACTTCTCACTGTTACCATCCCAATATTTGTGTCTAGCAGGTCACCCCGCCTTTCTTGGTGCAGGCTAGCACACGAGATAATCAAGATGGCTAGAATAATCCAAAAATTATTACAAAATGTAATCATCAGGCTCTTGGTAGTTCCTCCTAAATAGGCAGTTTCTCCTACAATAATCAAGTATATAAAGTTCAATGATGGCTCAAAATGGCTATCTTTGTTCTCTAAGGCCAGTTTTTGTTTAATTTTAGCGCTGTAGAAAGTTTAGGCTGCTGGTCTCACATCTAGAAAAGTGGCATAACTTCTGATCTGGGATATGATAAGTTTACCATTTCTATAGTCTACTAAATAGATAATTCTGATAAATCTGTGACTACATACAAATAAGAAAACTGAAAATTACCTTGTAAATAATTTTTACAAGCTCCATTACTGTAAATGATTTCTCAAAGTTCTCACGAAATAATGTAAGAATTTGCTGCTCTCGGATATTTCTGTGAGAAATGTATTCTTGAATTTTAGCTTCAGCATTATGAATTACTGGGCCATGTCCTGAATTAAAATAATTATGAGTTACTTCAGCCAGATAAAAAAATACTAAGTACAACAGAAGCTAACTCACTCTATGAACTATTTGGAAAGCTATACAGGTGAAAGAGATTTAAAAATTATGTACAATGCCCCCCAATTAGAAAATTATAGCAAATACAATCTATAGAAAATATTGTGTACATTAAAAATAGGAATAAAAATTTAACAATAAAATATAGCAATAAAAATAGCAACTACAATAATAACAATAGGTAATGTTTATGGAGTGCTCACTATGTGCTAGGCACTGCCCTAAATGATTAACATACATTATTCTTACAAGAATCCCATGAAGTAGGTACAATTATTATACCTTTCTTATGGCAGAAACTGAGGCATACGGAGGGTAAATAATCTGTCCACAGTTACATAGCTAAGAAGGGGTAGAGTTAGGATTCTGACGGGATCTCTTAACCACTCTGTGCTCTTGACCATTAGGCTAAGCTTATAAAATACTGCAAAAGGAGAATGTAAAAAGCAGTTTCATGTACATGACCAAGCTCTATTAAAAATTCACAAGACCCACAGTAGAACTTTAAGAATCCTATGTATACGCTTATGTATGTCAGAAATTTTGACAACCCAGATTAAGTTATACTATAATTTACCTCCCTTTTAAGACAGTACATATTAATATTATATATTATACAAGTCTGGAAGAATGATGTTCTTGAATATTTGAGAACAAAATATTCAGAAGCAGGCTAACCTGTTATGGGATCTGGTTAGACACAGACCTATCATTTATTTGCTGTGTGGCTAATAAATGAGGAATTATCTGAATCTCTCCAAGCTGTTTCTTCTGATGTGTGGTGAGGAAACCACTACCTACTTTACAGGGTTTTGGTGAGGATGACAACTGTAAAGGCCCTTGCACAAAACCTGATGGCTAGAAGGCTTTAATATTATGGTAGCTATGGCTACAGAGCATAATTTACATATAAACAACTGCTGTGCTAGTAAGCCACTTCACTGGATTCATTAAAGCACTCTAGAATCTTTACTAGGCAGCCTCTCATTAGCTTAGCCTGAATGTGAATTCACCGAACGTCTGCCCTCTTCTCTTTAAAAATAGCTGTCTTTAGCAAAAACAAAGCAAAACAAACAAATCCCCCAAAGCTATCAGCCTGCAATCCTTTAACGTCATCATATTAATCTAAATGCCTAGCTCTACTGTATGTTTTTTATTTCCCCAGCAGTAGGAACTCATCACAGAGTATAAATGTGTTGAAGATACTGGATGGATGGATCTTTCAATGGGTTAGGAGCAAGTTAGAAGAACTTAGAAAATTAAGTGGCCTAGTCCCTTTTTCCTTTTGGGCCTTTTTGTTGGGTCCTTTCTTAGCTTTTTTTTTTTTTTTTTGAGAAGGAGTCTCACTCTATTGCGTGATCTCTGCTCACTGCAATCTCCGCCTCCCATGTTCAAGTGATTTTCCTCCCTCAGCCTCTTGAGAAGCTGGGATTACAGGTGCCCGCCACAATGCCTGGCTAATTTTTGTATTTTTAGTAGGGATGGGGTTTCACCATGTTGGCCTGGCTGGTCTTGAACTCCTGACCTCAGGTGATCTGCCTGCCTTGGCCTCCCAAAGTGCTGGGATTACAGGCATGAGCCACTGCGCCTGGCCATTTCTTAGCTCTTAAGATGAAGGAGAGATTGATATTGTAGAACAGTCCAGTGAGATCTGAGATACTAATATGTTTCTCTTTCTGGAGAATGGAAATAAGGATTACCATTTTATAGTTGATATAGAAGCTATTGGTATTTCAATATTGTAAATTAAAAAAACTAAAGCTCAGAGGTCAAACATTACCCAAAGTTACACAGCTAAAATGTGGTACAAATACAAATCAAGTTAACAAAAATGACAGTGGCTTATGGAATGAAAATATTTTCCCATTTCAATGTAAGCTTATTTCTTTGCACAGTTCTATTAATAACTGTATATTGAAAAATAACCCTCATATCTTTATCAAAAGTTACTAATATGGCTCTCGGCCTTCTCTTTAACTGCACAGCTAGAGAGGACGTAGGGGTGTATTTTTTTCCTTTTTTTTTTTTTTTTGAGACAGAGTCTCACTGTGTTGCCCAGGCTGGAGTGCAATGGCGGATCTTGGCTCATTGCAACCTCCACCTCCCAGGTTTAAGCAATTATCCTGCCTTAGCCTCCTGAGTAGCTGGTATTATAGGTGCCTGCCACTATGCCCGGGTAATTTTTTTATTATTAGTAGAGACAGGGTTTCAACATGTTGGCCAGGCTGGTCTCGAACTCCTGAACTCGGGTGATCTGCCCACCTAGGCTTCCCAAAGAGGGGTATATTTTAAAGAAGTAGTTTATATGTTTTTTTTTTTTTTTTCCCGAGACAGAGTCTTGCTTTTGTCACCCAGGCTGGCACACAGTGGTGCGATCTCAGCTGACTGCAACTTCCATCTCCCACGTTCAAGCGATTCTCCTGTCTCGGCCTCCCAAGTAGCTGGGATTACAGGCGTGTGCCACCACGCTCAGCTAATTTTTGTATTTTCAGTGGAGACGGGGTTTCACCATGTTGGCCAGGCTGGTCTCGAACTCCTGACCTCATGATCTGCCCGCCTTGGCCTCCCAAGTGCTGGGATTACAGGTGTGAGCCACCGAGCCTGGCCTTATATGTTATCTCTTCAAGGCCAAATACATACAGAGACAAGCCAAAATGAACCTTCCTCATCATCTGACACAACTGGTTTGCTAGGTTTGAAAAACTATCCACTTTGGCATGCCTGTAAACCCAGCACTTTGGGAGGTTGAGGTGGGAAGACTGCTTGAGGTCAGGAGTTTGAGAACAGCCTGGAAAACACAGCAAGACCTTGTCTCTATTTAAAAATACAAAAAAATTAAAAAATTACCCACCTGGATATATAATATCAGCTTTAATTTTCAATAACTCTTTTAAAGAGTTCATATAATCATAGAGGTCTTCAAATATCGTTGTTCCTTCCCCTAGGATGCAGTCTCCAGAAAAGATAGCGTTTTCTTCCTCTAAGAGTAGAGCCATATGATCATCAGTGTGGCCAGGTGTATATAGAACTCTGGTTGAAAGAAGAAATAAGGAATAATAACAATTATGAACTCAGGCTTAGAAGAAATTCTGAGAAGTAAATTATTCTCTATCCTTATCTTTAGACACAAATAAACAGATGAGTTAAAAAGCATCTTTTTTTTTCTTGTACCCACTGAAAATTATCATTAGAAAATGCTCTCCTTCAACTAAACAAAGATTCTCACTCTGAAGTAAAATTTAATACTTTTCCCACCCTTTTTTTTCTTCTTTTTTTTTTTTGAGACAGGGTCTCACTCTGTTACCCAGGCTGCAGTTCAGGGGCACAATCACAGGTCACTGCAGGCTCAATCTTCCAGGCTCAAGTGATCCTCCCACCTCAGCCTCCTGAGTAGCTGGAACCACAGGTGCGGGCCATCAAGCCTGGCTAATTTATTTTTATTTTTTGTAGAGACAGGAGCTCACAAAATTGACAGGCTGGTCTTGAACTCTTAGACTCAAGCAATCCTACCACCTCGGCCTCCCAAAGTGCTGGAATTATAGGCATGAGCCACCTCGTCTGGCCTCCTACCTTTTTTCTTATTTTATAAGTAATAAGCACTGATTATAACAAATTTGGAAAAGAGAAAAGGAAAGTATTTAAAAGAAATGAACATCAACAACCATTTCTATTCCTCAGAGGGAGTGCTTTTATTATTATAGAATATATATTTATTTTCTATGCATATTTATATTTTAAAAACAAAACTGATATTGTTTTAATACCTGATTTTTTGTATTTTCCTACATCACTATATGTTTACATCATTTTCTACACACACACACACACACACACACACACACACATATATATGTTTGTTTATTTTTGAGATAGGTCAAGGTCCTGCTATGTTTTCCAAGCTGTTCTCACCCAGGCTGAAGTATGGTGGCGTGATCCTGGCTCACTGCAGCCCTGACCTCCTGGGCTCAAGCAATTCTCCCACTTCAGCCTCCTGAGTCGTTGGGAGCACAGGTATGTGCCACCATGCTTGGCTAATTTATTTTTATTTTTTGTAAAGACAAGGTCTGTCTATGTTGCCTAGGCTGGCATCAGTATATACTTTTCAAAGACAAGTATTTAAGTGCTTAGCACAGTAGGTGGCACAAAGTTGCATGCTTAATAAATGGTAAAAAATTTATTTAAATTTTTTTTAAAATAAAAAATTTATTTTAAAGCTTAAACTTTCTTAACAGGCAGCAGGTGGTCAGAAAAAGACTCTTTAATCTATTTTTTTGCCAATTAAAAATTTTAAGAACAGAGTTTTTATTTTTTTATAAATTTTACCCTACATAAGAAATTTATATGCTTTTGTTTCCTTTTTCCTTTCCTCCAATTTTCAGTTTTTGTTGACAAAACTGATTATAATACTTTTAAAGTATGACAGGTATTTTATTTCAAAATTTCTTATTTACATTTATATTGTTTTGTAACTATGCCAACAAGAAACCAGATAAACAAAAACTGAGTTCAAATAATCTGTTCTGCGAAGCACCCCCTGACTTCTCAGCAATATACAGACTTAATTCTCTGTACTGGTCACCGTTGCCTCTACATTATTATTCTACTTTGAATTATATACTATTCTGTAGGCTTCAGATTGTTTTGTTTACTATTCTACCTCACAAGATTATGAGTTCCAGAAGGGCAGGACTCTCATCTCATTTTCATTTTTATATACCCAGTACTTGGCACTCAGTAGTAGCTAATTTTAGTAATAGATTGCTTTCCATGTGCCAGGCACTGTCTTCAGGGATTTACACATATTACACATTTAATCCTTACACTACTTTGGGTTAGGCATTATTAACCTCTCTATTTTACATTTTACATAAATAAATCACAGCAAATAGTAATAAATGTCTAAAGGAATATAGTTTAAATTATATTTTATTTAGTTTAAGAGGATAATTACTTGTCTATTCTAGTCAGTATTGAGTTATTATGTGCTTGGAATATATATCTATTTCTCTATCTGTATATATAATTTTTTGTTTTTATTTTTTTGAGACAGAGTCTCACTCTGTCACCCAGACTGGAGGGCAGTGGTGCAATCTTGGCTCACTGCAACCTCTGCCTCTCAGGTTCAAGCAATTCTTCTGCCTCAGCCTCCCAAGTAGCTGGGACTACAGGTGCTCACCACCATGCCTGGCTAATTTTTGTATTTTCAGTAGAGATGGGGTTTCACCATGTTGGCCAGGGTGGTCTCAAACACCTCACTGACCTCAAGTGATCTGCCCGCCTTGGCCTCCCAAAGTGCTGGGATTACAGGCATGAGCCACTGTACCCAGCCATGCTTGGAATATACTTAATAAATCTTCACAATAACAGAATATTTTGTGGGAACAGGGTAAATGTGATGACATATAGATGAGTGATAAGTGACTTATCAGACAGGAGAAAATGGAAGCCTAAATAAGCAGCGGGGAAAGCTGAGAACCAATCAGATTTGCACTGCAGAATTCCTCAAAGTCTAAGGATTTGGGAAATCTGGAAGTGGAGGGTGAAGTGGAAGGAAGGTGGCTGAAATAAGAAGTCTATTGAAAGTCTTTTTAACAAACATTCAGATCCTCAGAGTCTCTTCCCACTTTGAGTTGAGAAGTGCCCCAATCTCACTAAGGGAAACGCTGGAGGTTTAATCTTTGAAGAGGGTAAAACAAGGCACAGATGGAGGAAGAGACAATATACTAAAAAAAAAGGAAGATTACAAGAATATATGTAGATTCCTATGCCTTCTTTCCACACTCAGCTTCTATAATTCTGGCAGCCAGGCCTTTACCCTACATGAAGATTAGAAGAGTCTTTTTCTAAGTTATTTTACCAACTCAGGAAGAAAGACTCTACGATACCAATGATGGAAGGTTCCCAACTGAAGAGCTCATCCAGATTATCCTACAGTGAGGCTTAAAGCCTACAGAAGACTCCCCCTCACATTCTCAGAGCTCCCAAATAGCTCTGTAGTTTCCATCAGAACACAATTAGTAAACATCAGAAGATAATCAGGATTACTAGTCATCTAAGGAAAGTCATGTTGAAGACAGTGAATAAAAACGAACAAGCAAACAAAGCAGTTATGAAGAAAATTTCCAAAAGAACCAAACCCCATAGAATATAATATCCTCAGCAAAAAGAGAAGAAATTGCAACTATGAAACAAGAATAGGGTAGTATAAAAGGAACATTTCGGAAACAAAAAGGGTTCCTGAAAATTACAAATCTGAGAACAGAAATAAAAACATGTAGTAAGGTTAGGTGAGAAAGTTAACAAAAATCTCCCAGAAAGTATAGTAAAAAGGCAAAAAGATGAAAAATGAGAGAGAAAAAAATAAAGTTAGAGTAGTACAGGAGTTCTAACAAAATAATAGGAATTTTAGTAAATGAAACAGCACACAAGAGATGACAGAAAATATGCACCTCAAGAAAAGTTTTGGAACTGAAGGACATGTTTCCAGACTGAAAAGGCCTATCACGGACTGACAAATACTCTGCTTTGACTAAAACTATAGTCAACTCCTCTGAGTTTTTTCTGATGATGGGACTCAGAACACACCACCGCCAAAATATGGCACCTTTGCATGCTGAGTATTTTAAGATGAAGGAATCACTGTGAAATTTCAGGATACAGTGGACAAGAAGGAAAAAAGCAAAAGCCAGGGACCAAAAAAGTTAGCAACAGAAGGGCTTTAGCTTTCTCTATGGCAATATTGAAACCAGAAGGAAATGAAACCTTGCAGACAATACTGAGAAGGAAAATGACTTTCAACTTAGAATCTATACTCATAAATACCTTAAATCAAGTTAGATGAAAAAAGACTACTTTTAGACATCTAAGGTCTCAAAAATTCACCATTTCTCAGGAAGCCATTGGAGGTGGGTTCCTCTAAAACAGAGGGGGTTTTAAGAAAGTTATGGGCACTGGAGAGAGGCAAAGTTCCAGAAGCCCCAGGTGAGAGTGCAGAGAATTCTGAGATGACACCAGCACCAGGCCTGGAGGAAAACAAGCCGAGACAGGAGCAAGTTATTAGCTGGGAGGCTTAAAGGGAAGGTTCTTTCAGAAGATGAAATTGAGAGAATCCATGATACATTTAAACACCCTAAGGGAAGATTTATATACTCAGAGTTAAATTAGTGATAAATACACAGAAAACTATCCAAAATAACAAAGCAAAAACAATGACTAATTGCAGGAAAGCAGGAAAAGTAAGCATAGTTTACTACACAGTTCAGCTGTAAAGTGTCTACAGTCGTAACAACATCAACACCGAATGCTGATCTAACCAGCATTATGACAGGTTAGAGGACAGGAATGGTGTTCAAAAGTGGGAGAAGAGGAAAACCCAATTCTAATTTTTTCATAGTGGAAAGTTAATAAATATCTCAAATTGAAAAATAAGATGTAGCAAAGAATCAAATAGTCCTCTAAGATTTGTAACTGTTACTCCCCCACTGTATAATTTCTTTCTCCCTAGATGCAACTACTTTCACCTCTTAGCTAATCATTTATGTCATTTTTCTGTATGTTCCTATACAACAAAACCATACCATTAAAGGTAATTATGTGTGTCTCTCTTCCTTGAGACCTTGATGAGCCTAGTCATGATATGTAAATGTTTTCAAGTTTGGATTTTAGATTCTAGAAGCCACACTAATAAGTAAACCTTTTGAAACATGTTTTTTAAAAAATTGTATTATTATTTTTAAGAGATGAGGTCTCACTCTGTCACCTAGTCTAGAGTGCAGTGGAGTGATCATGGCTCACTGCAGCCTTGAACTCCTGGCATCAAGGGATCCTCTGGGATTACAGGTGTGAGCCACCATGTAAACCTGTCTTTTTACAAAACGATCTGATTATAGTTTAATTTAGAATACAAAACTCGTTTAGGCCAACCTTATATTAAAAAATAATCTATAAAAAGTAGTATACAGAAAAAAGTATAAAGCTATTTGTGTTAAGCTTAACTCACAGGACCACATTATTAATTAAAGCTCTAGTAA